GCTTCATCGGCGCCGTCAACAACATGGACCAGACGGTGATGGTGCCCAGCCTGCTGCGGGACGTGCCGCTGCTGCTGGAGGAGCTGGACGCCGCCGGAGCCGTCTGTCCCCAGCGGGAAACCCCCCTGCCCCCCGGCGACCCCGGCGCCTATTTTTCCCGTAGGGACATGTACAGCCATTACATGTTGCTCAAGTCCATCCGCCACGATATCGAGTGGGGGGTGGTCCAGCCGCCGGCGGGCGAGGAGGCGACCCGCAAGAAGGACAAGCTGGGCGGTGGGCCCGCCGAGGAGGGCGAGGGGGAGGAGGACCTGGAGCAGCAGTTCCACTACCACCTCAGCGGACTCCACTCGGTCCTCTCCAAGCTCACCCGCAAGGCCAACGTCCTCACCAACAGATACAAGCAGGAGATCGGCTTCAGCAGCTGGGGGCAGTGAGCGCCGGGGCGGGGGGGGACGGGGACCGGTGGGAACGGGAACGGAGCGGCGGGTCCCCCCGCCCGGCGATGCTGCCACCGCGGAGGAGGAGGAGGAGGAGGAGGAGGGCTGCGCCCCCGGCGCTGAGGCTTCCCTGAGCGCTCCCAGGACCGCGGCCGGTTTTTCTACCAACGCACAAGCGAGAGAGAGAGAGAGGTGTAAATTAATCAGTACTAGTTCATTAATTATTATTCCCCCCCCCCCCCTTCTTTTTTTGTTAGCAGTTGCTCAGGGCCGAGCCCGTGCGTGTGTACGAGGTGGTGGCGTAGCTGGCGGATAGGAGGCTCAAGGCGAGCCGATGAGCATAACAAAACTGGCATAAAAATCGCTTCTCTTGCCTAGGAGGGAACCCAGCGGGCTCATGAGCATCCCTCTGTCGCAGGATGGATGGCAGGTCCCATGGTTGTACATGTACTGGAGTTTATTTAAAACTTTTTTTACTCAGATGTAGAGTATATTCTAAAATAAATGCGAATGTATTAACTAAAAGTGACTTAAACTTTTTGGTATGATTTATGTTTCTTTAATTAAATGATATTTTTAACATCTGGAATTCTTCTGTTGTTCTTCTAAGTTATTTCCAGAGCTGCCTTACTAGACACAGAAATCTTTGCATGTGCAAGAGAGAGGGGGTTTGTGGCTTTTTTCTTCCCCCCAAAGGGAGCAATTGCGTAGTGATGCTAAGTCGGCGTATCTAAAATGGATGAATGACCGTATTAACTGCACCGTACGTGGCCTGAGTTTTGGTAAGCTGTGGCCAACCGGACAGTCCAGTTGCTCTGCGTGAATGCTGGCGTGAAGGTCAGTGCCCCGTTAACAAAATCCGAGAAGACCGAGTCATGGTTACTTTGCAGGCAGCAATTCATGGAGGTTGGAGCAAAGCCTCGGAATGACTCTTGCTTTTTTCGGGAAGTATCTTAATGTACTGTGGGGGAGCTCTTTTCTCTCCCTCCAAATAGGTCTGGGATACTTGCCTCCCCCATCTCTTGCATTACTTTCTTTCCTCTGTAATTCTTGGATACTAGGAATTAATTGGTTTTATGTTACCCAAATAGTACTGATTTCTCTTCTGCATTTTTTTTTTTCATTTGCTGAATTAATGTGCCTCAGAATTGGGTGTCTATATAGTGTTCTAAGTTCTAATATTAAAAGTGTACTTACTGATGACAATACACTGCGTGCATATCACAGAGGATAACCATTTAATAAATACGTACATCCTTCCATAAGGTATGAAGTTTTCTTTTCAGGCACTGAAAAGCCAAGTTTGTGGACATCTCCTTATACTGAAATTTCACTTTGTATTATTGCTATCAGATTTAGGGCTTCTTTGGTGTTCTTTTTACTTTTAAGAATAGAAGAATTTTTCTCTCAGCTTTAAGGATATTTTTGCTTAAATTCAGATACTCCCTAGCAATTTGTTTTTCAGCCCAACTGTTAGAACATTGTAGTAAAGCATGAGCACTCCAGACATGGTACTAGTTGGCAGATGTTTGTATAGTTAAAACAATTGGTCTGCGTGTATGTTTAAAAATAAATATTTTAGAAGGTTTTCCCTTCTAGGGTAAAGAAGAACTTCGTAAGGCCGGATGATTTTTAGCTTGGCGATGCTTGTTCTTTTCCTAACGTTTTTAACTCGTCTTCCCCTCCCCCCTTGGGAAGCTGCCAGGAAAAAAAGTTATGAACAAGGAGAGGGATTACCCTGGTTTCCTAACATGTCAGCTCGCCGGTCTTGCTGTAGTCTGACTAATGTAATGCAAAAGATGCAGTGCCTTACCCTGGACGGTAAAGTTTTGCTCTCCTGAAGGTGGGGGTGAGAGGGAGAACCTGTTCTGCTGTGTGGCTCCCTTCTGCCTTGCGCTCAGCCAGCTGAAAGCCACATTACACCCTCTGCTCGGGAGCGCCGGTAAAACCTCAGACAAAAGCAGCTCGCGCAGTTTCAGCAGCGTTCCTTTTGAACTCCCGGTAACTTCTCCTGGTACGGATTTAGACGATGCCGTTCAAAAGTTGCACAAGAGACAGTGTGGTGCTGATTTAGGCTGTGAGTAACACAAGAAAAATAGCATTACATTAGTGCAGCGTCACCGTGAATATTGCATCCCTTCCCTTTGCATCCTAAAAAAAGACAAGAGAAAAGTTTCAGTGAAAGGGCGGCTCAAAACTAGCGCTATTTGGCAGCAAGGGTGGCATTTCCTTACAAGTAAAGGTTTGGGTAACAGAGGAGATAGGATGATACTGTGACTCAAGGGTTTGCCTTGCATCAGTGACGAACCCGCAGTTGCTGAACTGCTCATGGCTCCCGTGCAGGGCCCGGCCGCACGGCTGGCAGCAGCCCGGGTAATCCCAATTCAGCCACGGCAAAAACTGCTGAGACTCACACCAGCAGAAGACACGCTGCCACCTCCCACCTGGCAGCTGCTTTAGAATTCCCCTTTTTTTCAAGGTCATGGGAGAAGATCGAGGCTCTTGGGATCAAGAAAGCGATCTCATGATGCGGGGGGGAGGAAACCGACAGATAAAAACCAGTATTTCTCATGCAAAGGACAAGGGACGGGACTTTGCTGTTGGCTGCTGTGGAAAACAAGTTAGCCTAAAAGGCGGGGTGGTCAGGCAATTATGTAAATGCTAGCTCCTGACATTGCAGTAAGCAAAGATAAGATTGCAGAGTCTTAACACTCAGATTTTGTACCTTAGATGCTGATTTGGGAAAGATTTCCATTAGTGGTGCTATATAATGCAGTTAGGTTTATTATTAGGAGTTACGTTTTCTTTTGAAGGACTGGATCATTTTAAGTGCTCCTGATTGGACACCAAGTTCAGCAAAGCTTTAGTCTGCTCCAGTAAAGTGATTCTGATACTTGTAAGTGATAATGACAAATGACATCAGTCTAACATAAAAGTATCTTTGTGATGTCAAATACTTTGACAAGTGGCTTTATCTCCAAGCCACAAGTGAACATAAAGACAACTTGCCAAACTACCGTAACCGTGCACAAACCAGGGGAACATACACATGCACCATGAGAAACAGTTGTAATTTTTAGCTCACTTAAATGAAATAGACTCAATATACAGTAAGGCAGACATTAGAAGAGTAATAAATAATGAGACCGAGAACAGTCTGCAGTTACAAATTGATCACAGCAGAAGGTGTGTTACAGCCAAGGAGCCTCAAGGACATTGCTCATGGGATGCATCAGTTAATATATAGAAGTGCCTGGTATGTGTCATTATAGTTTATGAGTCAACTCTTATTTTCGTGTATACAAAAGAACAGGAGGGCAAATGGGGTGGGGGGTGTGGGGAGGAAGCCAAGCTTTTGTCTCAAGATATGTATATATATGTGTATACAAATAAAGGCACTGGGGATGGGCGTGAGTCCCATGGGAAGAACATCCTTTCGGAGGCTGCTTTGGCCGCTGGCTGCTGCCCTGGATGGATGGCAGGTCTGTGCTGGACGACATGTGCGTTTCAGGAATCATGGCTGCCTCTGGCACCGTAAAGTTTTCTCCATTCCCCTCCAGAAGTCAGCTGCCATACCCCTTTCTGCCCAGGAGCAGATGAAAAGTCTGAAATCAGTATCTTGGCACCCACTTGGACTAGACCCACCTGCTGCAGTCCCTTGTGCTTGGGGAGGGGTGCAGGTGGAGCTGAGTCAGGTTAGGCTCTCATCTTCCTACTTTCCCTCTGAAAGCTTTTTTCTTTCAGAAGGTTTTAAATAGATCAAGATACCTGCATTTTGTGGTTTGTTTTTTTCCCCTGCACTGGCTGTTGCACCGAAACACATGAGTCATCAGTAGCTCAGCTTTGCTGAAAGATGCACTACCGTTAGTGGCCAGATGGAAGGTTATATTAGGTTCTCATCATTATGGAGTTAAGCTCTGCACCCTGTTCTATCAGGAAAAATAAAAGGAAAAAAGAAAGGGGTAGCAAGCTTCTCCTCTTTGTGCCTATGGGTTTGGTACACAGTTTATCACCTTGTGGAAGAGTCTGCAGTGATTTTCTCCCACAGACTTAACTTCCCTGAAGCACTGAGTATGGAAGAGGATTGTCTGGAAGTACTGCTTTTTATTATTTATATCTTTAAACATGAAATCTTTTTATTATTTATATCTAGCTAACAGTGTGATGGGTACTATATTCCGAAGAGCTCAAAGACCTTAGGTGATAATACACACAGGGGAAAAAGAAGAGCGTGATGGGTTATAACCTGCTATAGAATCTGAGGGGAGTGCAAGCAGGGTGAGCATTGCAAAAGCAGTTCCAGCTCTGCATGCATTTTTCTGTTATTTGTTGTTGTCACCTCTAAACAAGCAGAAATACCTGAATGCATTAGTTCTAATGTTGCAAAATCACTTTCCTTCCAGACCACAGACTTGCACGACAAGTTTGGGTCAAAATTAGTTTTAAGGAATGAAGTTATAAACTCCTTTCCAAAAGGAAATTTGCAAATAGGAGCGCAGTAATTGTGTACCTTTCTGTTGGTAGCCAACTGCCAGAATTGACACTCTTTATAAAAAGTAATATTCCTTTCCTGTTCAAACACACTCATACTTTTTTGACCCAGAGTGACGGAATGAGGAAAACACCTTCTAGTTTTTGTGCTTTTGAATTTTGTCCTGGAAGAGATGGCACAGAAGAAGCTTGGAGAGCTTAGAGAGAAAACAGGTGCCTCTGCATTAAATCACAAAAGAGTAAATGAGCCTACCTCGTGATGTTCATAAGGTTTGCCATAGTATCAATTAAAGCGTTGTATCTTTTCATCGCTTTTGTCTACATATATGTCTGATTCTAATTTAATTCTCTCTTTTTGTTCTGGCCTGTTTTACCTTAGCAACTTTGGTTTACAAACAACCATGATGTCTGACAGGCACGGATGCACCACTTAAGACTAGCTGAGCCTTTTTAGGTGCATCTCCCTTTGCATCTGTATTTGAACTGAGAAGACGGACGGAGTGCCTAAAGCCGTGATTCGGAGTATAGCACAGCAGCACGGCAACCCCCTTGCTGTGGGATTGCTGTTTGGTCATTGGCAT